CCTGCTGAATCCCATGTCACCAACCGTGGTTCAAATCCTAGCCCCTGTGGCTTGAAAAAATGTCAGCCACATATGTATATGTGCCTCAAATCCTGACAGGATGGAGAGACAGAGAAGAGACTGGGACCACATCCCATGGTGGGTGCTTCCTCCCTCTCCTTCCCTCTACCTCTCTCTCTCTCTCCCAAGCACAAGTGTCCTCTAGCAACTAAAAAAAGAGAAAGTAATATACGTTACCACGAAATATTGGGGTGTTGGTTAAGTCATGACTCATTTTTGCATAGAAAAACAGAAAAATACATCATGACTTTCCTGACAACCTAATATTATATACATGTTTAATGAATTAATAATGTGCTGATGGTACCTATTCTTTTTTTAAAGAATTATTTAATTTTATTATCATTATTTTTTAAATTTGCTATAAGGCACGTGCACTCCCAAGAAGGAGAGACAGAGAGAGAGACAAAGTGAGAAAGCAAGCTGCCAGGCTCAGGACTCATACTGGGTTGACCATGTGGGAGTTCAGCACCCCAACAACAATGCAACCTGCCAGCCCCATTGGTACCTATTCTTGATCAAATATAAACTTGAGAGAAAACTACCTAAAAAACTTTACCACTGGGCCAGCAGGTGGCATGGTGGTTAAGGCACTGGACTTCCACATGACCAACCATGGTACGAGTTCTGGACTTAGCAGATTGCTTTCTCACTTTCACTCTCCCTCTCTCATACATGTGCCCTATAGAAAATTTTAAAAATAATAAAAAATAAAATTAAATAAGTAATTCTTAAAAGAACAAAAGGCTTTACCATTAACTAAACATTTCCTTAGCACCTACTCTAAGCACTAGGCACATAAGAAATGAAAAATCACAATTCTTTACAAAGCTCATATGATCTCATGGAAGAAATCAAATATGTAATACTGATGACAATTTCATTACCCTTCTGCTTAATTTTTTTTTCCCCCCAAAGACTCATGAAGTGGAATCTTCTATACAGTGCTGGTTTTGGAGGCCAAGACCAATATTTATGTATTCATCTTTACTATCAATCTCTTGTCATAATTATATTTCACTGACTATATTTACAAAAATTGAATCTCATGAACTAATTATTCTAGCAGTTGCTTGTACTAATGAAAACTCTCATTCTCTTCTTCCACATACCAACATTCTTTCTTTTTGCAGTGTTTTGTTACTGTCCCAAGCCAGACTTTTCTCTAAACAAACTTTTCAGTCCAAATTTTGTTCTTCCTGACTGGAATGTCTCCCACAAATTTATAGAAAAATCATCTACTCTCAGGGGCCAGTAGGTGGTAAGGTGGTTAAGGCACTACATTCCCACATGGTTGAAAACATGGTTTGAGTCCTGGACCTGTGGCTTGAAAATCACGCCAGGAGTGTGTATGTGTGTGTGTCTGTGTGTGTGTGAGAGAGAGAGAGAGAAAGAGTCAGCGTGTGCACGCGAGAGACAGAGAGAGAGAGAGAGAGAGAGGAGAGAAGAGAGTGACAGAGCCCAAAATCCTGAGAGAGGAGAATGGAGAAGGGATTGTGGCTTGGTCATCCCTGCTGGAAGTTAATTTCTCACTTTCCCTCTCTCTGTCTCTCTCTTTGCACCCTATGGCAAAAAAACAAACAAACAAACAAAAAAAAAAACTAAAAAACCCAAAAAGTATCTACTCTCTGAAAACTATCTCCTGCAAGTTTTCTTAAGCTCCAAACAATGTGATAACACACTCTAATATGTAAGATAATAAAATTTTGCTCTCATTTTTACCTAACATCACCTTCTATTTCCTCTAAGCGTAAGTTACTTGAGGATATTAACTGTAGTTTACTCATCTTGTATGTTCTGTAGTGGTTTAGCCCACAGAAAGTGGGAAGTAAATACCCACTGAACTGAAAGGACCCAGTTAATTGTACTAGAAGCAAAAACAATATTTTTACACTGTTTCTGAAACTTAAAAAATCAAACATATTAGTGGAAGAGTAAATTAATTTTATTGAATGATGAAAAACTAAAGTGGTAAGTATGGATAGGAAACAATAATAAACATTGAGTTCTGCTGGAATTCTCTATTTCTTCTTTTCACTTTAAGCCAAAAGAACATAAAATTATAGACTGTTAGTGAGCTAGGTGCTTTTAGTTCCTTCAACAAAAACTGCATAGTTCAGCAGTTATACGGCATTAAATATATACATTTTTGCAAAACCCTGAAAGTTTTCATTTTTGTGTTGACTTCAAAGGCTAAAGTAATCACCTACACTGGTCAGATTCAGAGTTTCTTTTCCCTTTTCTGCCACCCTGTAAAGAAAAATAGAGCAAATTATTTAGGAAATACCATTTGGGGGCCATTTTCATGTTAAGAATATATGAGGCAAAGGCTTTTTAGGGTATGAAAGGAAGCAATTTATTTTTTGGATTTATTGTAAATTTGAGTATACATGCCACTAAATTATTTTTATATGGTTACTTTTATAAATGACTAAAGTAGGTTGCAGAAAAAGTTCTATTTGAATTAGTTTAGGCTTCCTAAAATGACCAATTATATTTTTTCCTTAGAATTCATTTTTGACTGTCCCTTAGTTTAAAAAAAAATTAAAGTTTTTGGTCAACACTAAAACCACACAAATTTTTCATCTGATCAGCAAATTTAGTAATTCATGTCAATACCTTTTTGGTACTTTAATTTATAGTTCAAGTTCTATCTAGTTTTGTTAATATAAGATAGCATTAGATATCTGATTTTATCAGAAGATTGAAAATTAAGCTATTCTTTTCATACTGTTCAGTGTCCTATATAAATCTGTATTTAATTTGTTCCATATGAAATGCCATTTGTTCCAAATACCAATACCATTTATGGTATTTGACTTGAGTCAAGGAAAAAGGAAGACAGATTAAAAGACAGGAAAATTTTCATATAAACTACTTTCAACATAATGTTTTCTGCCTTTTTTCTGATTTTTAAGGCAGATATTCATTGTAGAAATATGGAAAGTACAAAGGTACAAAGAAACTTAAAATCATCCATAACTTCTCTACCACTCAATTTAACCATAAATAATAGTTTAATGTATTTACCTTATAATACGTTTTATAGTTTTGCCCATTTTTATAAATTATCAATGGTACCCAAACATAGTTGGATCATTAAAATCACCCAAGTAGTAATAGTTTTACAGTTTTGACATCTACACTTTGTTCCACATCTAATTGGACTGCAATGTGTAACTCAAAAAGTTTCCAAGTGATCATGATAATCAATCAAGTTTGGAAACTACTTGGCTGTGGAAATGCACTTCTTAAAGTGGCAGTCGCATCAGGGACATATGGAGCCCATTTGACAATGATGGTAGTGTTTTTCATTTCTTTCATCCTTTTTCTGCCTATAGCTTCCCTCTTATGTTCCAAATCATTTCTGTATCAACCTTCTAAAATAAAACAAAATGAACTGAAAAACACCCAACTAGAATGCTGTTATTCACTTCTGACCACATAAAAGTTCTCTGAAGAGCTGGCAGGTGGCATGGTGGTTAGGGCGATAGACTACCACATGGCCGACCATGGTTTGAGTCCTGCACCTGACCTGGCGGCTTACTTTCTCACCCCTCCCCCCCAACTCTGTCCCTCTCTAGTCAAATTACAATAAATAAATAAATAAATAATGTTAAATAAAGTAAATAACAATTCTTTTTTAAAAAAAGTTCCCTGAAGCTATATTCAGAGAAAAACAGCATAAATTGGTTTTATAAGACATTAGATGTATAATGACATTTTTTATAAGACATTAGATATGTAATGACATGCATTAAAAACAGTATTAACAAATACTGTTGGATTTTCCTGTTGGATAGCAGGAAAATCAAAATAAATTTAGTGACAAAGTTTCTTTAAGGTAGATATCTACAGTTATATGTAATACCAATGACTTTCCTGAATTACTATAGTTATCACTGCACACACCAATAACTAGAAAACTTTAACATTTTCTAAAACATAAATTATATGACCAATAAGAAAATTAGGGGTGTATTTGGTGAGTGAATTTTGGCCTAATAAGAAAACAGTGCATTTATTTTCACACAGTACTGTCCAGATGTATCATTTGTGATGAAAACACTCAAATTATAAAAGCATACCTGGTATTTGGCTAATTCTGCTTGTAATACTTTTACTTTAGATCTTTCTTGTTCTAATGCAGCATGAAGTGAAGTCACCTATAACCAAATATTCAATAAGACACTTTTCTGGCAAATATTCTTAACACTCCTTCACAATGATCATTTTTGACAACTAGATGAACAAGTACCAGTAAAAAAAATCCCTCCCCATAATTTCCATTAGGCATTATATATTGTTGTGTATGCTCTCTGTCACGGATAAATAGGACAGGCTCTGTCCTGAGAAGACAGAATAAGAATGTGAAGGGGAGAAAAATAAAGCCCCAAAACAGGGTAAGTTCTATTTACCCTTTCTACTTCTATATTTATGATTCATTAAAAGTCAATCTTAGCCCATTCTTCAGGACATACCTACCTCCCTTACTGCATCAAAATGAATCTTTATTTGTTATTACATAACCATAATAAAAGTATAATCTACATTACTTTCTTGCAGTGTTGATGAGCAGTATTTCTGTTTAGTTAAGTTTAATAATTTAAGAATGAGGCCAGCATGTGGCATAGTGGTTAAGGCACTGGACTCCTAAATGGTGAACTGAGGTATCGAATCCAGGACCTGGCAGCTTGCTTTCTTACTTTCTCACTTCTCTCTTTCTCTCTCTCTCTCTCTGGTGAATTAAAATAATAATAATAAATAATTAAATAAATATTTTTTAAAAATTTCAAAGCTAAAGAACAGCTTAAAGAATCAGTCGTGTATGCTTCACAGTTCCTTACCTGTATAGTTAGCTCATTCTTGATACTCTGTGATTCATCAACTTGCAGAAGTATTTCTGCTTTGTCTTTCACTGACAAAAAAGGAAAAACAGCAGAACAGTCTCTTCTGTCACCTGAATACTTTAACAATACTTAAGATACTTAAGTGAACTAAGACACAGCACGCTAGTCAAAACAATGATTTATCTTCACACTTAATGCATGTACTTCTTACCACTGCATAACTCTTCATTTTCACCACAGCAAATGTTCTTGGCAATTTTACATTTTCTGTGGTGTTAAAATATTAGTTGTACAGATACAATGAAAATTATTACATGTATACTAAATAAGTCAAGAACACAAGAAAATTTAAAAAATTCACAGTTAAAAATTTTAAATACCTTGACTAATCCTTTTTATGTTGGGCTGTGGACAAAACCAAGGCTTCCCTTGTCACCTCAACCACTGTGTGGTGGCACCCTCCCACTGGTACTACCACAGCTGGGACACCAATAAAGATTTTGAGTGTTGTGCTCCTATTAACTGTGTGATTCTACAAAGGGTGGTGATTATTAAGAACATGCTGTATTAGGACAGAACTGACTATATTTACACATATTATAAATAGTAAAGTATTATGAGAACTTCCATATAATGATCCTACATAAAATTCTTCTTCTTGGATTACTTCTAGTATGGACTATGAACATTAATATTACTGATAGCCATTTTAAATGTATTTCTGAGAGCAAGCTTTCATTAGATAACTTTTCCACTTTCAATGACAGTTTATTAGTGAGGAATATTATTTTATTTTTACATATTTAGAACTTATATATCCAGTGTCCAATATTACCATTTCAATTAGGAAAATATCTTCTAAACAAGTTAATTTTTAAATTTTCATACTTTTGTTCATTAACTGACCAATATGAAGTTCAATAAATGAACAGGTCTAAATTAATCTCAGGATTTTGATATCTGTATGTCCAAACAATGCCTTTCCCCATTATTCTTTAACATCTGCTTCATCATAATTGCTGTATAATAAAGGTATAAAAAATATAAGTCTGAAACTATTTCAAGATTCTGTTCAACTGGATGTGATTTCTATGTCTTCTCTTATTGTTTTGATAACTGTTACTTAATAATACGGATTAAATTTTGGTTCTACTCCCAGTACTTTCACAATGAAAATGATTTTCAGTATCTTATTTTCTTCAATGTGAATTACACAACTTCTTCAGTGTATACTGTACTCATAGGAGCTGTATTTGGGATTTCATATTCATTTGTTAACAGGGAAAATTGTTTATTACATTTAATTTTGTCTATTGAGAAAATAATCTTCTGAATAAATTAACTGATTTTCATTTATTTATATCTTAATCTGTAAGGGGTCTTTGAAAAGCTCATGGAAAATGCACATAGTTTATGGAAAAAACTATGTACATATATTAACTTTTTTTGTACCAAAATAAACTTTTTTTTTTTGTAGAGGTTTTTGATATAGGGCACGTGCGCTCGCCAGACAGAGAGAGACAGAGAGATAGAAAGCGAGAAATCACCCTCCAGGGGGGATGGCGACGCCGCAATCCCTTCTCCTCCATTCTTCTCTTGGGATCTTGGGCACGCACGCACACGCGCCTGGCGTGAGTTTTAAGCCACCAGGTCTGGGACGTGAACTGCGGTCGACTACGTGGGAGTCCAGCGACATAGCCATTATGCTAACTGCTGGTCCCAAAATAAACTTGTATTTTAATTATATTTTTCCAAACTTTTTGAAGTCCCCACATATGTGTTTTATGGTTTAGAATTTCTTTGCATACATCTTTTATTACAAAATTAACACATTTCCTTTTCTATTATGAATAGAAAATTTCTATAGAATTTTCAAGGTAAGTGGCACTAGATATACACATTCAGGAATGCAACTGATTTGGGAGGCTTTCATAGAATATCTGCTGATCTCTCTAATCATTGTTTGGGTTGATTTCCTTGGCTTCTTGCTGGTGAATTCTTATCAAAAGTTTAGAAAAGTAACAAAAGAGCTATAGAAGAGAGGAGAAAGAAAGAAGAAAACCTCAAATGACGACAGATGCCTCTTTTAATAACTAAAAAGAAGAATCCCTAGCAAATGTTATGCTTGTTTTCCCTCTAAATATAGTTCAGTAATTAGTAACAATTGAAATTTCAAGGCTTTCTATTACTTGAAATATTTATAAACTTATATAAGACTGAAGTGCTCTAAGAGTGACTTATAATAATAACATTACCAACAACTATCCAGCTTGTATCACTTCTGGGAAACATTTTCATTTTGAGTTAATAAATCATCATGTATCTTGAAAAATTGTATTTGGATATTATTTAAGATAAACTTTTAGTTCTAAAAACACACAAATCACTTACTTTCACCTTCCTGAAGCATTTTCAATAACTGTGCATTTCGTGCCTTTACTTCTTTAGATTTTGCCTAGTAGTCAAAGAAAAAAGATTTAATTTTTTTAAAAAGCAGATGATATAATTAATGACTTACTACCGTTTTATGGACTTGTGAATGCTAGGCTTGCTCAGAGATATGAATTACTTTTCAAAGAAATAGTATGGAGGAAAATGTAGTGAGAACTGTATAATACTAAAATTAAATACCAGGTATAATAGCATAATAGAACTATGATAGATAATACAGTAATTGAAAATTAAAGAAAGGGATAGAAGTGGAGAACACTGGGGCTTGTACTAAATTTTCCAGTGTCTTTCTCTTTTCTTTCAATAAACTTCTTATACAACTCAAAATAATTCAGATGAAAACCAAAAGAAAAATGACTTGTAGTTTCATGCCAGTACTGTCTAGCAATATACTAGAACTTTCTGTATCTGCCACTGTCCAATATATGGCTACAAAACACTAGGTATTGGCTAGTATGACTGAAAAAGTCTATTTTAATTACTTTGCTAGAGGGCATGTGTACTTGGATAAAGAGAAAGAGGAAGGAGAACAAACTGAGAAAGCACCCCTCATGGGGAATGGTCACGCCACCATCCCTTTTTCTCCATTTCTGCTTTGGGGATTTTGGGCACACATGCACATGTGCCCAGGATGATTTTCAGGTCTGGGACTTGAACAGTACAGATGGTCATGTGGGATCTAGCTGCCTAACCATCATGCCACCATCTGGCCTGTGAATTAAAAAAAATTTTTAGCCCTAATTGGAACTTTAATAGACACATCTAGGGATTTATTTTTTTTTAGAATTATTTTATTTAACTTCATTTATTTATTTATTTATATTTTTCACCACAGAA